TATATATATAAAATCTTTCAATATAATTGAGAAAAAAAGAAAGTATACATACATTAATCTATGTCGATTCTTATGCGCATGCGATTAACGAATAGTGGGGAAATGATATTTTCCCTTCCTCGGAAAAAGATATTCCATATTTTTGGTCAAAGGGAAATATATACTTCTATTTTAAAAAAAGAAAAAATGGTAAGATTATTATAATATATTCATAAAATAGAATACATTATTATTTTTTATAATATATGAAAAATTAAATATTTAACCTGTTACCTGTATTAGAATATATATAAAACTAGAAGTTTTTTTCAATATTTCACAATTATTAATTTTAAAACTATTTGATAAATTTTTAAATTATTATTGTTGATTTTACTTATGAATTCTTATTATTTTAGATAAATTAATATATATTATATATCATAATTTATATTGTTTTTGGGCAAATAACAACAAGTGGTTGAAATTTCAAGAAGTTTACAAGTTTACAAAGTTACATATACAAATAACTTTTTTATAATTTTTTATAATTAAAATGATAAAAAACGAAATTTTGATTAAATTGTAATTAATTAATTGAAGTAATAAATATAATTTTCTATTTACACAGAATTTGTTATATATAGCAAAATAAAAAAACGATCGAAAGAATTTCTTAATCGTATTGATCTTGTATTCTCGTTATCGTGATATTGTCAAGTAAAATACTTTTCATTATTATAATTTTGTCAAATAACAATGAATTATTTAAATTTAGTTTTTTTTAATAAAATTTATTTTGATTTTTGATAGTATTATATTTAGAAAATATTCTACATCAAGTTAAATTGTATAATATTTTTCAATGACTTTTTCAGGGAAAACTTACTCAAGAAGAACGAGAGAAAGATTTAAAACCATTGTTATTTAACAATTGGTCTGTGCAACAAGATAGAGATGCTATTTACAAAGAATTTTTATTCAAAAATTTCAATCAGGTATGTCATATGCGTTTAAGAATGCATTTTTATATTAAATATTTAATATTATATAATATAATTTATATTATAGGCATTTGGTTTTATGACCAAAGTTGCATTGCAAGCAGAAAAAATGAATCATCATCCTGAATGGTTTAATGTTTATAATAAAGTAAACATTACTTTATCTTCTCATGATGTAAATGGCTTATCACAAAGAGATATTAAACTTGCATCTTTTATAGACAATATTGCTAAAATGGAAGAAAACTAAGATTAAGAATATATATATATAATAAAAATGATATATAATAATAATATTAATTTTTTAAATATTTTTATAATAATAATTAATTAGAAATGTTATTCTGTTGTTATAAAATTTATGATAATAGATATTTTATGTATTTCATTACTTATAAATTAAATATATAAAATAATTAATGTTTATTATATTAATAAAATTTGTTATAAATTTTTTTTAAAATAAAAATTTTAATAAATATTATTTAAATAACATAATATATTAATTAAAGTTATATAATTTATTTCTGAATAATTTACAAGAAATTAAATTTTCTAAATATCTAAGTTATCTAATAATATATTAAAAAATTATTCATTAGGGTTGGAATCATCATTAGGAGGTGGTTCTTTGCCAATAGCCCAAGCTTCTTTAATAGCTTTTGAAACACCAGGACCATTATTTATAAGTAAAAATAATCCACATAATGTAACTGCTGAGAGGAAAATCAATGAAAGATGTAAAAGTCTTGGTAATAGTGGTCCAACAATTCTAGGACGTGCATAATCTGTAATAATAGCTTCCAGACCCCTATTTGAAATTTCAATAAATAAATAAATTAATGCATTGTAAGACATTATTGAATTAATGAATTATAACATTGCATAAATATCATGATGATAATGTATAATTAATAACAAATTTTAAAAAATAATTGAATGAAAAGAATAACAAAGAATGGATAATTACCAATGCATATGTATTACAATTATTAAGGACATTAAACCATCACAAATAATATTTTCCATTGTTAAAGCAATAGGTATTATAATTGGAAGTGCTGCTGAAGCAATTTTTTCTAAAATCCACATACGTACATGATCACTTGCAGTTGTACCTGTTTTGCGAGTTATTTCTGTATTTAGAATGATGGTATTTGTTGGAAACTAAAATATAAATCATAAAAATTATATAGTGCAAATTGAATAATGATAAAATAATGATATTAATTTTGTATTTATTAAATTATTAAATGTTATTAATTATTACCTTTAGTAATTGTCTTTCATTTTTATTCAGACTAGAATTTAAACATTGCTTAAAAATGGCAAAATTAGTAGATTTTCTAGTAAATTGTAACAATTTACACGAATTTCCAAAAAGTGTAGTTTTAGAAAATGATTCTGTAAAAATAAAAAGTAATATTATTTTATTATAATGCATTAAAAGAAGAAATATTGTAGAAATTCCAAGTATTGGATTAAATTTATATCTTCGTAAATTAAAGAATTAATGATATAATCTTTATTTAATAAAAAAAATCAATGATTACATTTTTATTTAATATTAAATTTTATATTACATATATATATTTTTTTCGCATAATATATTGAATAGCAAGATGTAATAAGATATAATAAGATTTTCCCAATAAGGTTATATGAATGTCATTAAAAATAGTCAAAATTATGTAAATCAAAAAGTAAGTAATCGAAATACATTCCAATACTTTACTTACCTAACTGTCTAACCTTATGAAAAATGCTAGGAGATGCTATACTTTTTAAAATCATTTTATAATTACAAAATACAAGATTTTCTGAAAATTGCTCTTATTTGTTGAGATTAACAAATCTTTCTTTTATTTTTTTATGATAGCTATATATTATAATTGCAATCTCAAACAAGTAAAAAATAATTATATACTAGTTGGACAATTGCTACATTGTCTATCTTCACGTCAATTTTTATGTTCGACTTATCGAATGACCGAAGTAACAATTTGCATAATTTTGATTATATATAAATTGACAACAATTAATAAATAAAATAAAATAATTTAATTATAATGAAGTATTTAATAAAAATAATTTTATTTTACTTTTTTTTTAAATATATATATATAAATTTAATAAATGTATAAATTTATATGTATGATATATATGTACAATTAATAATTTTATAATAATTTTTTTTCTAATATATGCTAATAATTTTTATATAATTTCTTTTTTTTAATTTCTTTTCTAAAATATATAAATTATATATATAAATTATATAAAATTATTTGAAATCTTTGGTTGAGAAACACTGCTTTAAAGCACGTGTTATTCATAAGGTTATAATTCTGGAAATAATAATTTTTAAAGTATATATCTTGAATATTTTATTTATATTGAATTACTGATTCTATTACTGATTAGTTTAAGAATTTTTTAAAATAAACTAATTTTTCTTTTGCGAAGTAAAGAAACAATTTCTAAAAATTTCGCAAAGAATTGTTAGATATAATGTCTGAAACGATAAATAAAAATATTGATTCCGAGAATAATTTTAAAGATCATAATATTAAACAAGAATTTGTACAAGAAAATAAATATGAAAATAAATATAAAAAAAATTTCAAAAAATATCGATCACCTAATTATTATGGCAAAAATAGGTATTCATATAACAATGGTAAGATTTCAGAATTAGAAATTAATTTTGATTATTAATTTTTACGAAATTAACTGATATTTTTATCATTCGAATTTTTTTTAAAGAATTTCGAAATGATAATTTTGGTAAAAAATCATTTAAACGCAATTGGTCGAGCTTGAAATCAGATGGAAAAAGAAAGAAATTAGAAGTGGGAAATCGGCTAAAAGAATGCGATGTTGGTATTATAGAGTTTATAGGAAATGAAGGTTTTTTTGGTGTTATCAAAGAAAGATATACGGATTTTCACGTTAATGAAATTGCTCTTGATGGACAAATTGTTAAATTAACAAATCAAGATATTTTATCAGATGGAGAAGAAAATGAGAATCTAGAAGATTTAAAAAAAATTATACAATCAGATATAATTTGGGATCAATTACAGGGATTGAAAGAATCGGATGAATCGACTATAGAAATCGATGTGACAAATATGGATAAAGATCAACGAAGAGCGATTCATAGAATTGCTAAAACAATAAAGAATGTTATTAGTCAAACTATAGATAAAGAAAATAAAAAAATCATGATGATTTTGCCAAATAAGAAAAATAGTAATGCTAGTATGTTAAATATTTAGCTTTAAATAAATATATGTAATATATCTTTTATTAATTATTAATTTATAATAATATTATATAATAATTAATAAAAGATATATTACATTAATTTCATATATATTCTTTTTAGGTCATAATTTTCGAAAAGATGATAGGATAGATTGGAAGAAAAGAGGAGAATATTGTTATTTTTTGTTACATAAAGTAAATATGGATACAATGGATGCTTTAAATCAATTAGCCATGAATTTATATTTGAAGCCAAATAATTTTACTTATGCTGGAACAAAAGATCGTAGGGCATGGACTACTCAATGGGTTAGCGTGAGAAAGGTTACACCTACAGACATATTAAAAGCAGCTAAGAACGTACATGGAGCATATGTAGGAAATTTTAAATTTGGAACAGAATCATTAAAACTAGGTATGTTGAATGGTAATTGCTTTAGAATTGCTTTGAGAAATGTTAATGGGACAGATGATCAAATCGAAAAAACAATGATTTCTTTGAGAGATCATGGATTTATAAATTATTACGGTTTACAAAGATTTGGTACTGTAGCTGCTATTCCAACTTATGAAATAGGCAAAGCTTTACTTCAAGGTAATTTTATTTTTTATTTTAAATATATTAATAATTTAATTTTTTTATGTTTTTTTTTTGTAATGTAATTTAATAATAATTGTTTTTTATGTAATTTAATAAAAATAGGTAAATGGAATCAAGCTATTGAATTAATTTTGAAACCCAGAGAAGGAGAACAAGATGAAGATTTAGTAGAAGCTAGAAAAATATATGAAACAACTAAAGATGCATGTTCTGCATACAAAAGGATTAAAAGATGTGATAAAATAGAGGCTACACTTTTAAAAGGTCTTTGTACATCTGGTAATAGTAATCCTCAAGGTGCTTTGGATTCAATACCAAGAAATGCTCGTTTAATGTATATTCATGCCTATCAAAGTTTTGTATGGAATCATATGGTATCAAGAAGAATAAAAGAATTTGGGAAGAATCCTATAGTGGGAGATTTAGTATATGAAAATAATATAAAAGAAAATGATAATGAAGAACAATTCGTTTACGATAACGAAAACGAAGTCATAACTGAGATTAATACGGAAGAACTTGATCAAAAAATAAATGAACTTGATGCTGGATCAAACTTGAAAGTAAAAATCGAGGAATTTACTAAAACTTTAGAAAAATCACCAAATACTTCAATTAAAGAAGTAACGAATGCTGCAGAATTTTGTCTTAAAATTGATGAGAATGAAAAACAAAGTGAAATTTCAAGTAATCTACCACCGGTAAAAGTACTCGAAGAAAATGATTTATCAAATTATACTTTGGCAGATGTATTAATGCCACAGGTTGGTTGGAGAGTTATATATCCACCTTATGCCAAGCCATGGTTCGATGAATTTTTAGCAAAAGACGGGTTAACAACCGATTTGAGGCAGAGAAATAAGTAATAAATCATTATGGATAAATTTTAAACATTTATTAATAATACTATTATTTAATAATACTATATTTTGTATAATTTATAACATTTATTCAATTTCAGAAAATATAGTTTAGGAGGTGCTTATAGAAAAATATTAGAAATTCCTTCAAATTTATCTTGGAAAATTATGCATTATACAGAAAAGCATAGCGATCTTATTATGTGCGATATCGATGAAATGAGAAAATCATCACCTCCAAAAGATGATCCAAGTATAACATTTTATATTTTTACTTAATTCTGTAATATATAATAGATATATAAGATTAATACAAATCAAAAATGTAATAAATGTTTTTCTGTTATTTTTTAATTTTTCAGAAGGAAGATTCAAAGCCATAATAATACAAATGTCTTTGAAACCTTCTACATATGCAACTATGGCATTGCGTGAAATTTTAAAATCTGATACTTCTCCACAAGCACAAGCTGCTCATTCTGCCGCGTGTAATGCAGAAACGAATAATTTAAAAACCTCAAAAAATAATATAGAGAGCGAAGATGAGAGTAAATCTGATAATACAGAAAAGTATCCTAAAATCGAAGAACAAAAATCGAATGATGATAAAATGGAAATATCAGATATAGTATGAATCTGTGATTACTTTTTTCAATAATTAAATAAAAGAATATTAATTAAGTGCATATAAATTGATATGCATAATTATTTTTAAGATAATATTAAAATATTATCCGCTTATTTTTTTTATGAATATTTATTTGAATTCTAATTTATTTATATTATATAATAGTAAAAAAGTGACAACGATTTATTTTCATCTTAAGTAAGATGATATTTAAGTTGGTTTAATTACTTTTTAAAATATATTATGGGTTAAAAAGACGCATGGATGTTTCAATCCTGATTCATATGATCTTGGCTTAATTCAATTATAATATATATATTTATATTAAATAGAAAAAAAAATATTTTTGTTATAATAATATAATGGTATAAAAAAACAATGATTTGTAATGTATTATTCGTTAGAATAAATATCTTGAAATTAAATAGCTCCTTTCCTATTTTTTAAAAATTTGTCCCAATTTTATAATTTTAAAAGCTTCTCATAATTTCTTTAAAGTTTAAAATAAATATGAAACATCTTAAAAATCGATTTTTCACGATTATACATCGATTATATTTCGATATACATCGTATAAATTGAAGTATTATTACTGGTATTGTGGTCGATGAAGAAGCGATTTGCAATGATACTATAGCATTAATATCCTCTCGGATGACAAACGAGGGAATGACATTGCAGGATCCCAATATGTCTGGCATCCCAATGCTGTACAACAAATTATCTTACCTTTTGTAGAATACCGTGAAAAATCGTCAATATCATGACGTAGCGTTACTGTTGAAATATGTATCGTTTTATTAAGATAATTAAGCGTTATTCCAAATTTATTTATTTAAATATTCTCAATAGTTATAGTATATTTTATTATAGGAAATATTCTAACAGAGAAAAACTATAAATAACAAATGCGATTATTGAAATTATTGGACATTACGAAAGAATATTTTTTAAATTATTTAAAGAAAAATATATTACAAATAAATTTTTGCATGACTTTTATTTTTATGTGATAATGCGGTGCCATTTTAACATTCTTGGTACCGATTCACACTATAGAATAATATGGAAAAAATTATATGGAGTGACAATATATTATTTTTATTTAATATATTATATTCCGTAATACCATTATATGTTAATTTTCTATATATTTAAAAATTTTCAAATCATTTTTGAGCATAAAAATTTTACGCGATAAAATATTTACTTTTCAAAAAAAAATACTTTATGTATTTTTATTCCATATGTATTTTAAAAATATTTAATCCTGTATTTATATTTGGATCATTATTCATTACATATTTCAATTTCAATATTTGTTATGTAATAAAAAATTAATTATGATTGATCTATTATTTGTAAATAATTATTAATGTAAAGAGTAATAGAATATATCTATAAAAGAAAAAAAAAGAACAAAGATTATCAATTGTGTACATTTAAAATTTTTCAAAACAATTTTGTATTATTGCATAGTTATTAATATATTAAATATATCTGTAGTAGATTCATGCTAATAGATGTTTGCAAATAAGTACTTATATATAATATATTACGATGAGATACATTATAAGAAGATGCATTTATCAAACTCCGCCCTTCAGAAAAAAAATACCGCCTCTCGACATGCGCTTTCGTAGTTACAACCCTCTTTCTCACTTGTGATCGGTGGCATCTGTTTGGGGTAGTAAGCATCTAATTCAAATTTATCCTTCTTCATGTTTGGATTCTTTGGTGAAGTGCGGAAAATTTTATCTTTAGTATTAAATTTTGTGAAATTTTTACCTAATTAAGAGAAATTTAAAAAATAAAAAATCGTTTCATTTAAAAAAAAATTTGCAAAAAGTTTGTTATGTCTGGTAAGAATCAAACATAATTGAATAAATAATTTTTTCCAATTTGTTAAAATGTTAAATTTTTTTACATATATATATATATATGTAAACAAATTATAACATTGTATTAATATTGTAACATATGTTTCGATTTTGCAATGAATTGTTTAAATTTTTTGAATGAATCGCTTTGTTAGAATATCAATTAACAATTTAGTGAATTTCGCTCTTTATTGAAATATAGATATATTTTTAAATAAATTATAATTTATGTTTAGTAATTTTATTATTAAATAAAGCAGTGTGCAACATAATGCAAGAAACGCCTTTAGATTTGAGTTGTCGAAATTCCGAAAGGAAAATAAATTTAAATTCATCAAAGTTTCAAAAATCTTGTTTATCTTGTCAAACATGTGGCAAAAACTTTGACAGACCGTCTTTGCTCAAAAGACATCTACGAACTCATACAGGTTAGTGTAATTAAATTTCATTATTATTAATTTATAATTCATCAGATATCGATTAATTATAATTTATAAATTCGAATATAATTATATTTGTGATTCGCATAGTTACTTTTTTTAAAAATATTTAAACAATAGTAAGTTTTTATAGAAATAAAATTGAATTACAATGGAATGAAAAATTATACATGATTTAGGTGAAAAACCACATGGTTGCACTGTGTGTGGAAAAATGTTCAGTACAAGTAGCTCGTTGAATACACATGTCAGAATACATACTGGAGAACGGCCACACGAATGTCTCATTTGTGGGAAACGTTTCACGGCTTCATCGAATTTATATTATCATCGAATGACTCATTATAAGGTTTTTATTAATGTTATTTTAAAGTTGTTAATATTTTTCAACATCTTATGAACAGCATAAAACATAAAGATAATATTAAATCGTTTAATTACAATAATAAATTATATGCATCAATTTGTATAGATAATATAATATAACATATAATATATAATATAACATTAACGATAATATAACATTAACATAAACAGTAATAGATTACGGGAGAAATCGCATCGATAATTTACTTTACCTATCAAATGGTATCCATTATATCTTTGTTGAAATATATATAGTAAATAGTTGATTTATTATATTAATTTCAAATAAAAAAAATATAACATATACAAAAGAAATATAACATTGCGATGATATTATTTTTATAAATATATATTTTATAAGATAAAACAATCCATATAATTTGATTAATAATTTAAAAATTAATAATTATTTTTTATAATATCTGAATATAATATATATGTAATCTTATATTTTATTATAGATATTTCTTTTAATTATGAAATGTCTTTAATTACACGAAATGTCATCATAAATGTAACAATTAAATCATGTCATTTTTTTTGTTATAAATGATGTATCGTAAGGCAAGGATATTAAGATAGCATATTTAAAGATAGCATATTAAGATAGCATATTAAATTTATATTGATATAATAATGATAATAATTTACCAATCGACAATCATGATATATATATGTAGGAAAAACCTCATAAATGCAATGAATGCGGTCGCTCTTTTCCAACTCCTGGTGATTTAAAGGCCCATGGGTATTCTCATAGTGGTAACTGGCCTATCCGATGTTCAATTTGCAATCGGGGATTTTGCAAACCTGGAGCTCTACATCACCATATGCAAGTGCACATAGGTAATTAATATTAATTAAATATCAACAAGTGTTTATAATTTTTCACGAATTTTTAATACTTTACAAATTAAAAAAAGATTAATAATTAATCAATAAAACAAATAAATAAGTTAATAAAAAGATATATCTATTTTTAGAAACATGCCAGAATTCAAAAATATCAGGTTGGATCGAAAACTCGATTCAGGATTAGATCTCGAATTCTCGAAACTATTTTGTGATTGTCGGTAAATTGTCAGAATTCCCGAGAATTTCGAATTTCTCAGATATCATAAGATATCGATATCTTCTTAGATATCATAAAATTTTTGAAAATTTTCTTTTAATTTGATATATTCCGAAAATATTATTTATTTCCTTAAAATTTTACAAGAACTTGATATTTTTAAAAATCTTTGAAATTCCCAAATTTTCAGATATTTTCGGGATATGAGCCGAGTCGAACCGATCCAACCCAATTTCTTTTCGATCCATTCGAGCATTGGATATAAAAAATATAAGCAACTATTTTATTGATTTTTTTAAAAAACTAAAATAAATTATTATTTTATAGAAAAGAAAAGAAAAATTTAGAGAGAAATTATTGATCTCTTTTCAGGAAGTCGATCGTATCATTGTAATATATGCAAAAAACAATTTTTTATGATGAATAATTTACGATCACACGAACGATCTCACGATTTCAATGTGATAAATCGAAATATTGTTAATTGTTTAAACATAGAAAATAATAGAGCAACGATAACTGCATTTACTTTCGAAGAAGTAACTAAAAGTCAATTTCCCGCAATTTATTCTTGGACTTCATGGATACCATTCCATTATTAAAAATATAATAACTGAAATAATTGATTTTTTTTTAAAAGCGATAAATGTTGAAAATGAATCATTTCAAGCGAAAGATAAGTATATGCGAATAAATTTTATTTATTGTATAAATTGTATTAATGAATGTAATAAAATTGTAATGTCGCGTTTAAAACTCTATCATTATTGTTAATTATTTTATCATTAATTTTAATTCTCCTTAAATAACAATAATTACGAGAATACGGACAAAATAACAGATATGCGCATGATAATATTCATTAAGAAATATCATATTATTGTAGAAATGATATAAAATATAATGATATTTTTTATTTATTTATTTATGTTCGCACAGTTTCTCATTAAACAATAATATAGATAATTTGAATAATATTTTAAAGAAAAAGAAAGGAGATTAAAAACCGATCAAACCAAAACACGTATATCGTTCGAATTATCTCTATTATTTGAATATTTAGCATCGAAATCAAGTATCGGTTCTTTTTGCAATTTAATTTTCTCGCTGCTTGGTACATATTCCAATTCGACTAACACTATCTCATTTTCGCCTATTCTTAAAAAAGATGCAGGAATATAAAGAGTTATTTGAGGGCCAACCAATGGCCAATATCGACCTAAATTGTGTCCATTCACGAAAGCAACTCCTTTGCCCCAACCATCAGTGTTTAAATACGTGTCCATCGGTTGATCAGAGATCGAGAAAGTTCCTCGAAGTATGACGGGACCATCATGAAGAGTTCCGCTTACAGATATGTTGGAATTGACATTGATAAGCGGGTTGACGCTGTCCAGCAAAAATCCAGTCATTCTCCAAGGTCCAAGGGGAATATTGTTTAGAGATACATTTGTAACTCCCTAGTAAATGAAAAATATCCAATAAATGAAGAAATATACCTTATTTTATCTTTCATTTTTTCTATTTTAATTTCTATTAGATATATATTGAACGATACGAGCTTATAATTTACTTTTACTGTTTGTTGCTTATTAAAAAAAAGAGATAGAGACCTTAAAATCGCGAAGTCCATTTCCATAATTTAATCTTCCTTGATTCTCGATCAATAATTTCAGTTTTTGTCCATAAGGCTCCTCTATACTTAAATGATAGATGTTACTGGTACGACTTAAGGTTCCAACCAAATGATCATCTACATAGACTAATGCTCTATCTCGAACTTTTGCGTGCAAAATCGCAGGATCCTTAGGGCTATGTTTTATATCAGTCTCGTACAATACCAACCAATGAGATAATCCTAACGCTTCGAACGTTAGTGGATGCGATCCTTGGACGATAATTGTTCCGAATAATTGTCGACCTTGAGGTTCGAATAATTTCAGAATTGGCGACAATAGAATCGAACCGTAATCTCCTTTTGGAGATACTGTTGGAAGTGACACGTTTGGCAATGGCAAATACTATAATAAATACATGTGTGTGTGTGTGTGTATAATAGATATATATTATATGTAATAATTTTTTAAAAACAAAATATGATTAGAGACTAAAAAACGTAAGTACCTTAGATACGATATTCCGAATTTCGAAATATTTTGATGTTGGATCACCAGCTTCGGTTAACGGAGCATCATAATCATAGGAAGTTAGTTGTGGATTGTATGCATTTTCGTCACCATTAGCCCCTATGGAATCGTACGTTTGATACTTAACGTTAAATCAATACGTTATATACATGGATTATAGCATAGAATGTCTTGGAAAATCTAGTATTTGTATCGTTGCAATGTACAACGTAATCTTAAATCTAAGATCAATTTACTTGATCTTAATCTTAATTTATAAAATCATTATTACAAAGATTATAAAAACTATTACAAAGTAATTGGAAATTATATTTATATATTGTATTTGAAATTTATACATATTTGTTTATATTATAATTATATTATAATTTATATTATAATATATGTTTTTAGATAATTAAATATTTTTTCACGAATAGTATTACATTACGTATACATTTTGCAAGACATTCTCTATTCATGTGATCATTATATGTTTCTGATCGGAATATGATTTTGAGATACAAATGATTTCTAAAAAAGCGAGCATTTTAAATTGCACAAATAAAATATAGCATACGTTACAGTATTATCAACAAAATACAATATTTTTTAATTCATAAAAGAAATTTTTAATCATTGTTTGTCCAACTTCTTATTAATATTTTTTTATTTCAATATCTTGATTAGATATTTTGATAATGAAATTTCGATAATAAAATAAATTAAATTTTTTTGCGTGTTGCTATATTTTTAAACAAAATTTTGCAAATAAGAGTTCAGAATAAAATCTTAGGAAAGATTTACTAACCAGCGGTGTAACCAAAATTTGTTCCACCGTAAAACATATAAATATTAACAGAAGCACCCAAAGATAGCATTTGATTTAAAGTTTTTGCAACTACTGTAACATTTACTCTTTGAAACGGTTCTTGCCAATGTGTCAACCATCCAGGATAAAATTCTGAATTTACTAATGGGCCCTAAAAAAAAAAAAAAAAAAAAAAAAATAAAATTAATCATTTTAAATCATTTTAATAATCGTTACAATTATATTTTATTCTCTTGTTCTTTTCGCCAATATTTTTCAATATTGTTATTTTTTATTTTATTTAAAATATGCAACACACAACAATTTTATTCCATATTTCGAGTGTATATATATATATATATATATATATATATATATATATATACAC